AATAGTTTTATAGCAGATTCTCTTGGGTTTCTCACATCTACATTGATTACATCAGCAAATAATGATACTCTTCTTTTTTGGTCCATTTTATTCCTTTCATTTCTTTTTCATTGCACTGGCAAGCATCTTAGAGCAAGGTTAACTAGTAGACATGCTTTTTTATTTTGCACTCATTTCCCTGTGAAGTGGCTTTTGTAGGCTGTGGCTCCAGTCAACTCTACCAGACAATCTCTCCAGGGCCATGCACAGGGATTGGCACATAGATGGAATTTTGGAAGCCTTTGCTTAATTGTAAAAGTGGTTAGAAAAGAGAGCAGGGATCTGAAAAGAGGCCTTCCACAGTAATGATAATAATAGCTAATATTTATAGAGCACTTCCTGTGTGCCAGACACTTTATAAATAATACCTCATGTTTTCTTGTCAAGCCCAATTCCATAGGAGCAATTACGTGGATTCCCATTTTTGATAAGGGGTAAACTGAGGCTCCCTAAAGGCTACTTGACTAGGAAGTGGCAAGCTGACATCTGAACCTGGCATTGTGGCTCCAGGCCTTCCATGATGCTTATTCTTTCCTGGAGGGTCCAGAGATACAGATGGTGATGTCAGAGGTTGGCCTCTGACCTGTGTTGCTTCTGTGTTAGGGAGGTGGGGATGGTGGAGTGGTCGAGGTGCTTGGAGTAGTGGGGGCATCGGCACAGTGGACAGCGCACCACAAGTGTCTTCTGACTGCACCTTTCTGAACCTCAAGCGTCCCAACCTCCTGCACTTGTTTGCTGTGTGGCCTCAGGCAAGGTCCGGGTTTCTCTGAACTTTGGTCCCATCTGTAAAGTAGGTGCAGCTATAGTCCCTACTTGGCAGTGCTGTCAGGACAGTTGAGTATCAGCTGCATTCAAAGCTCAGTTCTGTGCTTGACGTTCAAGGCCCAGCTACCTCCTCTGTCTTCCTCCTGCATTTTCTCTCTTGTCACCTGTACCGGTATTAACATCAGCAAACAAACAGCAGTGAATGCTGTTTATCAAGCACTTACTCTCTGCCTGGCACAAGGACTCTCATACTTAACGCTCAGATTTTAGGTTTATAATGACCCCCATTTTAAAGATGAGGAAACTGAGATTTGAAATGATGTGCCCAAGAAGATTTAGCTAGTAAGTAGTGGAACCAGGATTTGAACCTAGGTCTGACTGGAGTCCTCACTCTTAACTCCTAAGCTCCTGGCCTCCTCTCCACCCTTAGAAGAGGTGGAGGTGATGTTCTTCCATGTCAGGAAGGAAGGAGTGGGTATGTCTGGACGGAACAACAGTCTTTTCTGGATTCTTCTGGATGTTATGAGCATCTGTGAGCCTGGAGGAGGGGCCCAGCCTCTGCAAAGGCCAGGAGGCGAGAGAGCGCGGTGCCCTCCCCGGAGAGGGCCCGTGGGGGAGGGCCACAGCCCCAGCTCCACGGGGCCGCTTTTTAAAGTCTCCCCGGAAGAAGAAATCATGACAAAGTAATTTCCAAATGTCAAGTGATACAACATGTGAAGAAGGGATTTTCCTTTCCCTCTTCCACACTTTTTAGATGAAATATTGTGAAGAATTTGGACTCTTTCCAGAAGTTTCTGTAAACCTCTACAGCACATGTGTGTACACGTCTGCAGATGCACACGTACACATGCACAGGCTAATTTTCTTTATGGAAATAACGGTAGTTCATGTGTCCTATGTGCCAGGCCCCACGCTAAGCCTGTTATGTGCGCGTCTATTTAATCCTCCCACCAACCCTCTGACGCACGTAGCACTACTGCTGCATTTCCAGGTGAGGAAACTGAGGCTCCGAGTGGCCCAGAGGACAGACTACACTGCCATCTTCCTGTTTTCATTTAACAATTTGTGGAGAGCATCTTCTCCGGCTGCACTGAGCTCCCATTTTGTTTAATCAGCTGCACAGCTGACTGCTCCATGAACGGACCGTCATTTATTTGTCCAGCCCCCTCTGATAAACACGTTTCCGGTTTTCCACGGACAGTGTTAAGTGGAGGAGACCCCATCTGTTTGTGCAAATTACAGAGATGCCTCTGGTGGCCGGAGGATGGCGCCCTGGAGGGGCCACCACTGCTGTCCCAGGCCAGGATGACAGGGGCGGGCGTGAGGGAGTGGAGAGAGGGTCGGGAGAGGGATGCATATGAGGACAAGGTGTCAGGGAGAATGGGAGAACCAGCCCTGAGACAGCGACATGGGGTGGGGGGCGGCCTTAGTGGGAGAGGCCAAGTCAGTTTGGGACGCCCTGAGCGCGAAGCACTGGGGGCACTGGTGAGGGAGTGCTGTGGGCATCTCGCCACCTCTCACAGTATGGATGGCGCAGACCCTCTGTCTGGAGCCTGTGGTCGGGAGCAGCTGCCCAGAGGAAAGGGGCCACCTTCCTCTGGGAACCTCAGACACCCGCAGTCCAGAACCCCCACCACTTCCTCTTGGACCCCAAGGAGCTATCTCTGCTCAGAATGTGCCAGTGGCGGAAGAGATGTAGGGTGCTGGCCCTTCTCCAACAGGCAGATCATGGTGATGTGGCGTTTGGGCCTTGAGAAGGGTCCTGTCTCAAGAAAGAAGACCAAGGTCCGGGAGGGCTGTCTCTCCCAAGGTTACAGAGCTTGGCGGCAGCCCTGCAGAAACTACACCCCACCCTCTATGTGCTGTCCCTCCTCAAGCACACCCTGCTTTGTCAAAGCTTGAAATCTTGGGCTTTCTCTAGGAACGGGGCTAGGCAGCCTTATCCACTCACGCCCCATCTGTCAAGGGCATCTGGCTGTTCCATGTGAGAGAGGGGGCAGGAGATGGGGCCCATGAGTTCCTCCCCTGGACCCGTGAGCAGCCGAGCTGCTGATTCCCGCCTGCCCAGTGTGGTTTCCTGTCTCCACTTCTTTTCATTCTCACTCTTGCTGTGTGACCTCAGGCACATGCCTCAACCTTGCTGTGCCTTTGCTTCCTCATCAGTGAAACAGGAACACTATTAGTATCTACCTGCTAGATCATCATGAGGATTTGGTGAATCAATATTTGCAAAGTGCTTAGAGCAGGCCCCAGTGCAAGGTCCAGGCTCTGGGAGTGTCTGAATATCGCAGAATGATATTTGGTCTCTACAACGTAGCATTGCAGGAACAAAGCAGGAGGCAAATCATGTGTCTGTGCTCATTTAGTCTTTTGTCTGTTTTGCAAATATTTTAGAGCACCTAGTAGGGATATGGAGATGGAGCTGACCTGGTTCTGCCTTCAGGTAGCTTACCATCACAGGAGCTTACATCTACTAGATGGATCGCAGTTTACAGCCCTGTGTTCATATGATGCTGGAAGGCAATGCACCTCCGTGCCGAGGGACTTGGAGGCAGGGTTGACAGTGTGCTGCACTGTCCCAAGCATGTCCCAAGCATGGTTCTTGTACGTCCTCATGGATTCTCCCAGCAGCCCTATGACGTGGGTACTGTTATCCTCAATTGACAGAGGAGGAAACTGAGGCACAGGGTCCCACGATGGGCTTGTAGGGCTGGGTTTTAAACACAGGTAGTCTGCTGCAGGACTCTGGCTCTTAAATTGGACCTACCTGCCTCTCCACAAACATGTGGTACTTATATAATCAGAACCCAACCACAAGGACAAAACTTCCCCCAAACCCAGAAAAAATCCCCAAACAAAAACCCAAACCCCACAAACCATCAAACAGTGCAATCAGAGGCCCCAGGCCACTTTAGCCTGGTCTTGAAGGCCCTCTTCTGCTTTTTCTGAATGCCGCAGTGGGGAGTGGTCTTCTTGTTTAGTGTAAGAGCTGAAGGGCCAGGAGCTGCCTTTTTTTCCTTGCCCCTTCCCAGGAGGGCACATGCATCCTCTTGGTGCTGGAAGGGCCTTCAAGGTCCAGCCCCAGCTCTCCCGCTCCCTCCATGGTACATTAACCAAGTACCTGCTCTTCTGCCCTTGATTACCTCCAGTGACAGGTGGCTCACTCTCCATCATTTACTTCATTCTAAAGAAAGTTTGGGCTCTTAGTTCTTCATTAGCATTTAAATTTTTTAATTTTTTTTAAATTTTTACTTCCTCTCAGAGTCCTGCAAATAAATTCCCTGTTAAAGCATGCACCCTTTGAGGCAGGACCTGACCAGTTCATCTCTGTGCCCTGCTTTGGTGACTAGCAGAGGGCTTGCTGTGCAGTCGGTGCTGTGAACACCAAACCAGGGCACCATGACCCCAAGGGTTGGGTTGCCATAGAAACTGGCCTTCCCAGGACTGTTGGCATGTCCCTCGGGAAGCCCTGATGATCCTTTGAGTAGGTCTCCCAGGGCCTTCCCAGCCCCACTTTCTCTGAATCAGGTGGTCCCCATTGAGCATGTGGGCAGTCTGAGGTCCAGAGGGTTACAAGGACTGGCTAAGGTTCACACAGAGAGGGGGTGTTACAAAGCTGGACTTGGCACTCAGAGCAGACAGTCTTGCCTGAGGCCCCCACTGGTCACGGGGACTTTTCCGCATTCACAGGTTCTCAGAGGAAGTTCTGGACTGATTCCAGGGCCTGCAGCATCCCCCAGAGAATAATTAGGACTCACCATGCCGGTGTGTCCAGTATCACACAATGTCAGTAACAGCTGATGTGGCAGAGCGACCTGCTGTGTTCCCAGTACTCTGCCTTGCCTCCTTCAGTTATCACAATGACCTCATCATTTCCAGATGAAGAAACGGGGCATGCAGAGAACTTAAATCACTTGCCTGAGATCACATAGCCAATTAGGGACAGATTTGGGATCTGAATCTGGGGAGCCTGGCTTCAGAGCCCACTTTTAACCGCCGTGCCATACCCAGCCTCACTCTTGATCTTGCTTTGGGAAGAACGAACGATATTTCAGGTCTGAGAAGAGCTTAACATCAGGCCTGCCAGAGTCAGAGCCCAATAAATTGTGACCGAAGAATCAGAGCCACGGCAATTTCTCTTTCTAATCATACCCTCCCAACACCCCTGAGAAGTCTGCTTTATCCTTGCTTTGCAGATGAGGACGCTGAGGCCCAGAGAGGGGAAGTGACTTGTCTAGGGTCACACAGCGGGGAGAGGTGGAGCAGGGTCTCTAGTCCAAGACCCCTGACTCCATACCTGGTGTTCGTGCTGAGACCTCAGGCTGCTTCCCAGGTCCTCTGGGATAGCCCCTGTCTTCCACCAGGTGAGATGATGACCTGTCAGGGCTGCCAAGATGAGGGAACTGGGAGAGGTGGCCATGATGGTTAGGAAGACCCTGGCCAGGCTCCGTGGGAGCCAGGACCTGTGGATGGGGACGTGGGAAGCAGGGGAAAGTGGGGAAGATTAGGGCTTCTGCTTATGAGGCTTTCGTCTGTGCTTCACCCTGTACCAAGGAAGCCCTTGTGTTGATCGCCATGTCACCCAAATTTGGGTAACAGTTGTGTTTCCTCAGGGGCACTTGATCCACGGTGGGCGATCAATGTGTTAAGGGGTGCCATCATTATTCCCATTTTACAGGTGAAGAAACTGAGGTTGTGAAAGACTAACTTACCTAATGGGGCTAGCACTCCTCTTCGGGCCTGTTTCCCCATCTGTAGAATGGGTGGATGTTAGCTTGGGCAGCCCTGCCTGCTCCCAGAGTCCTTTACCCCAGAGTCCTCTCTCATCCCCAGCAGGACCATGGGCAGCAACAAGAGCAAGCCCAAGGATGCCAGCCAGCGGCGCCGCAGCCTGGAGCCTGCCGAGAACACCCACAGCGGTGGCGGGGGTGCCTTCCCCACCTCACAGACCCCCAGCAAGCCGGCCTCCGCTGATGGCCACCGCGGCCCCAACACGGCCTTTGTGCCTGCGGCCGCCGAGCCCAAGCTGTTTGGAGGCTTCAACTCCTCGGACACAGTCACCTCCCCGCAGAGGGCGGGGCCCCTGGCTGGTCAGTGGGCCTGGGAGTGTGGGTGCTGGGTGGGTGGCCCTGGCCCCCCTCCTGGTTGATCCGGGCTGCGGTGCCTGGAGGGCTATGTGCCCTAGGGCAGTGATACCCCCTCTCTGGACTGCTGTTTCTTTCTCTCACTGAAGGAGGAATCTGTGGGTTCCTTGGCCTTGGGGACTGTTGGGAATTTCCTGGAGGCTTCATAAACTGGAGAGTACACTCCATGGCCTCTAGGGATGAATCTGATGTAAAGTGTAAAGGGGCCTAGGATATAAAGGACTGTAGGGGGAAACTGAGGTCCAGAGAACCGGGGGTTCTCAGGGTGACACGGGGACCAGGTCTGAGGCTTTGCTTTTTGCTCTGGTCGGCCCAGAGATGGATCTGGACCGGAGAGGTGAGTGGCAAAGGGGTGGGGCGGATAGGAGGGAGAAAGGGAGCTCCGGTCCTTAGAGACCTGGCCCAGTGCCGAGATGCGCCCCTGCGCCCTCTGCTGGCACTTTGTGGGTATAGCATCCCCAGGCAAGGGATGCTTAGAGAGGCAGATGTGGTCCTGGAGACACTCACAACAGCACGTGAACTCTTACCTGGACACACTCAGACAGAGCCACGTGCACACACAGCAGCTCATTCAGAGACATTCACACAGGACACGTACATGTACTGAGCTGGAGACACCATCGTAAACAGAAACCATGCACGTGGAGACACACTCAGGGATGTGTGGATGTGCCCCCTCCAGGCACAGACACACACCCAGCGTGAATGTACACAAATACAAATACACATACACAAAAAACCTCATACTCCCAGATGGAGACACAGACACATGCAGTCAGAAGTCCAAAGACACACATGCTCAGCTAGAAACGCCATCCCAGAGACCCACAGACTCCCAGATGCACATACGTGCAGTAAGAACACACAGACGCAGACACACCCCCAAGTGAGACAGACCCACACACAATGCCCATTCATTTATTCCAGAAATAGTTGTGGCGCTCCTACTATGTGCCAGGTGGGAGACCAATTGCCCCCTCTCCCCCCCCAGGATACAGGGCTCTCCTGTCCACCCCTCTCCCCAGCCATGGCCCTGGCGGTCTGACAGGCCCTACCCCCTCTGCAGGTGGTGTGACCACCTTTGTGGCCCTCTATGACTACGAGTCACGGACAGAGACTGACCTGTCTTTCAAGAAAGGGGAGCGGCTCCAGATAGTCAACAACACGTGAGTGGCCCCCTTCCCCATTGCCCCTCAGGACCCCGACCCTGGGCCCAGTCTGGGGCCAGAGCCACTTCTGAGCATCCCCGAGCCAGGAGGCAGCTTGGTGGGCAGCTGGCAGAGCTGAGCATCAAGGCAGCCAAGGTCCAGGGATGGTCCTGGGGCCTGAGGGAGTGATGAGGCAGGCGCCCATGGGCGGGGCTCCGGGAGGGCTCCAGGGGCTGGGATCCGAGTTCAGTAACTGGTCAAGAGAGCACAGCGCTCCAGATCCCAGAACCCGCAGAGGGGCATGTGGTCAGGGCAGGACCGGCCTGGGACCCAGGACTGCAGAAGGCCAGGCCTGTGGAGCTGGGGGCTGTGTCCACAGGTGCTGGGGGTTCTGGGACAGCCAGTAAAGCCAGAGTCTCCAGCTGTAGAGGGAGGGGCCTACACTGGTCAGGGGTTGGGGGACCCATATTGGGGGCCCAGTGTGGGAGGGGTCAGGATGTGGCATGGAGATGAGGTGGTGGGATAGGGCGTGGTGGGCAGGGCACCCGGGAGGGCGTCTCTGGTTTGGGGACTCCAGCCTTAGGGTGGGGCATCCCAGGGCCAAGCTGGCATACGGGGGAGATGGGGGCCCCTGCCAGGCCCTGGGGCCCCTGTGAGTGGGGCTAATGAACTGGTGAGGGGTGGGTGGGGCTCTAGCCATGGGATGGGGGTCCTTCCCCTCCTCCCCACCTCCTCTCCTTTCCCTGCCAAGGGTGCAGTGTGGGTGGGGTGCAAGACCTGTCTTGGGGGGTGGGCGGTATAAGCTTTAGGTCATTTGCCTTGGGGTGATCACAGTGGGGACAGAGCTGCCGACAGAGGGCAGGGTACAGCTCCACACCTGCTGCATTCTTGCCCTTGTAGGGCTTCCTGTCCCCTCTCTGCCACCCCCTACCCACCCCGCAGCCTCGAGGACCCCCCTCCCCATTCCTGGCCCGCACCTGCTCCCTCCAGCTCTCTCTCAGCTTCTCCCTCTCTCTGCTTCTCTCTCGCTGGCCCTTAGGAGGAAGGTGGATGTCAGGTGTGTACACACTCCAGGGGCGGTGGGCTGGGTGGGGGCGCTTCGCTGGTGAGGGTGGGGCTGCTGGCTGCATGTGCTTCCATATGGTCTCTGGCTCCCTTGGCTGCACCCCCTTCAGCCTCCCCAGCTTCTGTCCTCACCCCTAGTAGTCTGACCAGATCCTGACCTTAACCCCCGGCTGAGAAAGGGGAGGGTCTTTGCATCGCCCCTGTCACTCCCCATCACACCTCCTCCCCCTCCCCCTCCTGCTAGCTCACCCCTCCCCGTTTAGCCCACACCGAGTGGCAGCTGTGTGCGGAGTCCAGTGTGGGCCTGGTGAGGCCTGGGTGGAGAAGGCCATGCCCTCCTGGAGCCAGAGTGTGGCCAGGACCCAGCCCCAGTGCAGACCAAGTGGCAGGCAGAGTTGGGGGCCAGAGTCAGCTCAAGCTTTAGGGCCCCTGTTGTGTACCCCCTTCTGTGTAACCACAGGAGCTGGGAGGTTCAAGCATGAACTTGAAAGAAGCACAGTGAAGTCTCAGGGCCGGTGGGGGTGGTAGAAGGCAGTCCCCCTCCCAGGGCAGCTTGCGGGAAGGTGCGGTGCTGGAGGGGGCTGGATGCCTTCAGGGCTGTGGAAGGCTGAGAAGGTTCTAGAGGGTAGAGTAGGATCTGTGAGCATCCTCAAAGGCCTGGCTAAGGAGATTGGACATCTCCACCATCTCCAAGCATGTCTTGCTTGTTCATGCCTCCCTGCCCTCGTGCATGTTGTTCCCTCTGCCTGAAAAGCTCTTCCTCCCATCTCTGTCTGGCAAACTCCTATTCATCCCTCAAGATCCAGCTCAGGACTGCCTTCTTTGTGAGGCAAAAGGGGAAAAGAGGTACCAGGCATTTTTACCCATGTCCTTGTATTTACTCTGCTGCAGTTCCGCCAGGGCTGTAGTGATGGGGGAGGGGCCATCTCCATCTTGCAAACGAGGAAACTGAGGCTCAGAGATGTGAGGGCTCTTGCCCAAGGTCACACAGCTACCAAGTAGCAAAGCCAGGATTGGAACTTGGGTAGATGCTCTCCCTGGGGAAGGGGGCTTTCCCTGCCCACCCCCCGCCCCCTGTCCGAGTCCCAGTTCTCTTATGATTCCAGCTATTTGCATCTGCCTCCCTCCAAACTAAGAATTCCTTGAGGGCTGCTCTTGGACCTGCCACATTTCTGGGTCCTGCATCACCTGTTGCTCAGTACACTGGGGGTTGCCCAGTGAGTGCTGGTGCACGAGATGCGTGAACAGTAATAAAACAGCCACCATTTCTTGTGCCCTGTGTGTGAGCCTGGTCTCGTGCTGAGCCCTCTTAGTTGTGTTGTTTTATTTAGACATCACCATGGCCCTGGGAGGTGGAAATGTTTATTTGCTCCATTTTACAGATGAGGAAACTGAGGTCCAGAGAGGGGAAGTAACTTGCTCAAGGTCACACAGCTAGTCGGAGCCGAGGTGGGGGGGTAGGTATGACCCAAGGCCCTTGGAGGAGGGGCTCCATGGAGGCACAGAGGAGATGGGAGGGAAGGGCCCAAGCAGAGAGGAAGCCTCAGGTTGGAGGCTTTGAAGTACTGGAGGATCTCAACGAGCGATGATGGGACAGGTGTCTCAGGGGGTGTGGCCAGAGGGAAGGCTCTGGAAACTTTGATTCTGCCTCTTTCACCCAGAGTTAGAGGGCAGCCCTTGCTCCTTTGTCCAGCCCCTTCCCTTCCTTTTTCTTGTCTCCCAGGATGGGCGGGGGGACATGTGGCCAGGCCAGGGGGCGCCAGGGAGGGGGCGCTGGAAGTGATGGAGCCCCATCCGTGGGAAGCCCTCGGGGCAGGTGGGGCAGTGAGGCACCCCAGTTGGCGGGTGGGGGTAGGTCAAAGCCTTTCTTCACATCGCAACACTCAGCTGTTCTTTGCCTGAGAAGTCAGCATCATAGGGTTGGGGGCTGGCAGTAGGGGAAGAGGAAGGGTAATGAAATCGGGGTTGGGGGAAGGACCTTAGTGGACGATTTACCCAGGTTTAAGGTGTTGAGTTCTCGTACCTCATCCAGGGACACCCTGCATGTCCTTCTACTATAATTGCTTAGGTTCCATTATTATTAACCGCGTGCCCCCTGCCCAACCCCCAGCCTGTGCAGGTGAAGGACCATCTGAATCTAGCCTGTGGCTGGGCTGGGAGTCGGGGAGGAGAGCTTAAGGATGTGCCTGTCTGTTGCGGTCTGGCCAGGGCTGGCTGGGTTGGGGTCCTCACAGTAGCAGCCTGGGGACCCTGCTCCCTGGATCTTCCTGCCAAATGATTCTGGTCCTAGAATCCTGGGAGCTGTGTGGCCTTGGGTCCGAGGAAGCCCGCTAGGGTTGCCTGAGGTGTGCCTGCCCTGAGCCCCCTGCCCTCCAGAAGTCGGAGCCCCTCTGGGTCTGACTCTGTGTTCCTTCCTAAACTGTCCTTCCTCCCACCCGGATTCCAGCAGCTTCTCTGGGGGAGCTCCCCAGCGGGCACTGGCCTCTGCCCCCTTGCTCTCCAGTTCTACTTCCCGCCCTTGGGGTGAGGGACCCCCTCCTGCCCTCCTCACATGACCTGCCTTGGCCTCACCCCGCTCTCTCCCCACCAACCGTGGATCCAGGCCTCAGGTCTCAGGAACTTGACCGCCTGGGCCATGCCCAGCTGCCCCGGCTTGCCTGCAATCCCCAAAGTGCTTCTCTGACCAGTCCCCAAAGCCCAAATGGGTTAAATAGGAGGACCCAAACTGGCACAACTTCCCAGGTTCCAGAGCTGCCACTCTCCCGATCCACATGCCAGCCTGGATTAGCCACAAGGATTAGGCTCCAAAAAGAGGATCCTGAGGCTCAGACAGGTGAGGTCAGTAGCCTGAAGTCACACAGCTAGTGACAGCAGTGGGGATGGAAAATCATAGCTCAGGGACTGCTGGTCCAGTGCTTTCTCCTCTGGCCACATGTGGGAAGGTGAGGGTTGGGCAAGGAACATGTGTGATTCCCTGCTGTCCCTTCTTCCTGCCTATCATCTGATGAGGACCAGGCCCCAAGGAAGTGCCGGATGCAATGAATCTGCTCAACCTATTAGGTTAACGCCACTGTTACTTCTGACATTGAGTACTGAGGGATAATCAAATTGGTATCCCTGCCAGACTGGACTGATCTGGGGTCTATGGGGCCCCTCACGGTGAGAGCAGAGCCAGCTCCCAGCCACCTGAGGCAGGTTTGAGCCTCTCAGACCACTGGCATGAGAAGATGGGGCTTGATGTCTCCATTTCACAGGTGGGAAAACTGAGGCTCAGATGCTAATCACAGTAATTAGCTTCCCCAAAGCCTGGCTTGATGCTGACTGGTTTACATACTTTGCCCACAAGGGAGATTTTGTGAACATTGCCTCTTTTTTATAGATTAGGAAACTAAGACCCAGAGAGGGTAGGGTACTTGCCCAAGGTCACACAGCAGATCCTTATTGAAGACTGGAACTGAGTTGCTTCAGTTTTAAAAAAACGTTTTGGGGAGTGGGGAGGGGTACCACAGAGTTGCAAGTTTAATTGTTTTTCTTTTTTTTAGTTAAATTAAGATACAAAGAGCTCATGTACATTGAGCACCTACTGTGTGCCAGGCCCTGGGCTGGTACTTTACATCCTCGGAAGGAGGCATGAGTATGCCCACCCTGCAGATAAGAAAACCGAGGCAGAGCCCAGGTAACACAGCCTGCAAGTGGTGAGCTGAGGTGGCACCAGAGTGGTCTGACTCTGGCCCTCAAGCCCTCAGGTACCTCTCAAGCTGGGGCCAGGCTGAAGTTGGACCTTGGATCCTTTAGTGAGATTGCAGTGCACCTCCATCCCTGCCCTTGTGAAATGAAAGCCCCAAACTGAACCATGAGCCCGAACTCGCATGTGGGCTGATGGCAGGGAGCTGGAGGCTCTGCCGACTGAAGTCCAGGTGATGTCAACAGAGCTGAACCCGCTTTACTTTTGGGGCCTTGCATGGCTGGCCTCTGGGCACGTGCTCTTGCTGACCTTCCACTCTTGAGTGGGTGGCTGGGGCTTCCCAGAGGCTGGCTGGCTTATAAACTCTGTCAGTCTGCCTCATTTTGTAGTCTCTGACCTAGACCTTGGCCCAGTCCCTTGCCCTGCGCCCCCTGGCCCTGCTGCCTCCTTCTCCATCTTTCTCTGGTTTCCACAAGGGTCTCTGAGCCTCTGGGAGGCCTCAGGAGGCTGCAGGGGTCCAGAAGGCCAGCTGTGCCTGGCTGTGGGCACACAGGGGCCGTGGTTCTCACCCTTGCTCTGCCGTTGATTTGCGTGTGGCTTTGAGCAAAGCACTGCCCTTCTCTGTGCCTTATTTTCACCTTTGGTGAAATGAAGACTTTGGACTGGAAGATCTCAGCTCTTCCTTATGATTTGAGTCCTTGTTGTGTAGCTTTGGGCAAGTCTCTGCCCGGCTCCATGCCTCAGATTTCCCAAGTCCACAAAGAAAGTGCTGGGTTACTCCAGCCTGAGTGCTGTGTGTCCTTGGGCTGGTCCCTAGACATTTCTGAGCCACAGTTTTCTCCATTTGGGAGCTGAGACCTGCCTTCCTTCTTTGCAGGGTGGCCTTGAGGGTCAAATGGGATGGGCAAGTGTGGACCCCACAGTGTGGGTACACATAGGCAGGTAGATGGAAGTCCTGGGCATCTGAGGGCTTCTTTCCTTGTGGTGGGCTCTGTCCCCTTACTCCAGGGCCCTCCTGCACCCACAGGGACCCTCTGCCTTAGCAGTGATCCCACTGCCAAGTCAGCTCTCACTGCCCCAATGGTGATCTCTTTGCCTCACTCTATCCAGAAGAGACTCACACTCTGGTTGAGCCTTGGCCCACCTGGTTGAGCCCCTGGGTTGGGGATGCTCACCTGTTCTAACCTGTTTTAGAGAGCTCCCTCAGCCCTACCCTTTCCCAGCCTCAACTTCTCCATCTTCAAAATGGGATGAGGAGTATAGGTCAAGGGCAGTTCAGAAAACCCAGGAGCCTGGGATCCCGGTTCAAGGCCAGACTGTGGCTGTGGGCAAGGGCCTTTCTCTCTCTGGGTCCCGGCGGTGGAGATGGGGGAGCACATCCTGCTTGCTGTGTATTTTCTGAGGGTTGTGGTGAGGTCCACCGCAGCCTTGGATTGAGAAGCTCAGCAAGGCATCAAGCCCCACCGCACCCTGTAGGGGAGGATTCCTTCTCATCTGGGAGTCAGGAGCCTGGGCCTGGCTGTGTGACCTTGAGCAGAGGCCTTTGCTTGTCTGGCCTCAGTCTTCCCATCTGCACAGTGGGAATGGGAGGGGGCTAGACCCTATTTGCCCAGGCAGCCCAATGGGCCTCCCCTCAATCCCCATGGACCCTCTCCCTGTCCCCTCTGATTGCTTTGGATGCGAGGCCTCTGTGGCTGCCCCGCCTGGTCCCCTGTCCCCAGCACTGCCTGGCTCTCCTGCTATCTCCCTCACTCTTTCTGCCTCTCTCTCTCACCACCCCCATCTCTGCCTCTTCTTTCCTGTTGGGCTCTCGCTTTCTCCTCCCTCTTCTGTGTCTCTGGACCCCCGCTCCAGCCAGACCTGGTTCACATTCAGATGGCTGCAAAGGTACTTCTGCCCCTCTCCCACCCAGACCCAGGGGACCCGCCCTGCCAGGGGCTTCTCCTGCCCCCATCGCCCTGTCCCCATCACCTCCTCCTCCTCCTCCTCATGGGGCAATTAGTGTAGCTGTACCCTGGGCACCGGGGCTCTGCCAGCTCAGCTCTCTCTGACACGACTCGCTGTGTGACTTTGGGCAAGTCCCAGCCCCCTCTGGCCTCAGGTTCCCCCATAGTCGGGTAGGCTGCAGGAGGGGGCCTAGGAGCCCTGAAGGTGTGGCGCACGATCTGACAAAGGCGAGCGTTGCTCCAGTTTGCAGGGTTGGTGCCTAGATTGTCACCAAGCCCCCAGAGGGCCACCCTTGCCTCCCCTCAAGTCTCACCAGCTCCCAGGCCTGGGCTCCCAAATCTCAGGGCTTGGGGAGGCCTTGAAGGTCTGATCTGATATCCATCTCAGGTGGAAATCTTCTCCTATTACAACTTGCTTGCTCCCCAGAGACAGGGTACTCCCTCCCCCAGGCCCACAGTGGCTCTTGGCATCTTGGGATTGCTTGATCTCTCTGAAGGGGAGCAGATCACTTCCCGTCCCAGGATGCTGCCCCTGTGAATTCAGACCTTGTCATCTGAGTCAGCCTTGGCCAAGAGGCCTCTCGGGTGGGGAGAGGAAGAGTTCAGGCCAGCTTGGCCCTGCAGGCTGTGAGGGGCCTGATCCCACTGTTCCCTGCACCCCACCCGGCCTCGATCCCCCAGCACAGCACTCATGAAGACTGCAGACCTCAGGCTCCACTGCTGATGGTTCCTTCTCCTTTGCTCCCTCCCCCTCCCCCTACTCAGAGAGGGAGACTGGTGGTTGGCTCACTCGCTCAGCACAGGACAGACGGGCTACATCCCCAGCAACTATGTGGCGCCCTCTGACTCCATCCAGGCCGAGGAGTGAGTATCAGCCCTGGCCTCTTGCTTGGCCACCATCACTGCCGGTTCAGAACTTCTCTCCTGGGCTGGAGCGGGAGGTCTGTCTACCCAGGGCCCTAACCACATCCCAGGAGGAAGAGGTGGCACTATGGGTGGGCGGAAGCCTGGACACCAGCGTTATCCTTCTCCCTCCCACCCCAGGTGGTATTTTGGCAAGATCACCAGACGGGAGTCAGAGCGGTTACTGCTCAATGCGGAGAACCCCAGAGGGACCTTCCTAGTGCGAGAAAGCGAGACCACAAAAGGTATGAGCACTCTTGCTGGCCAGTGGGAACTGAGTCTTGTGGATTATTTAAGCTGGGTATTGTAGAATGAATAGGAGTTTGGTATATGAAGTTGGGTGGGTAGAGCCCTGCAGCTGGAGAAAAAGACAGGATCAAAGACAGAGAAGTACATTTGAGGAACACTGAGTTCTCTGGGGTGGCCAGAGGTACAGCAAGAGCTGATGCTTAGCTTCTCCGGCCTCAGGTTCCTTAGGTGAGGAATCGGCACAGGTTATCAGGAGGTCTGAGAATCATATAGCAAAAGGCTATATTCCCAGGGAGGGTGCTCATGCAATGGGCCCCTCTCTTTCCCCTTCTCCAGGGGCCTCAGGGGCTGGTCTGGGTGTTGAGACCTGGCCTTGCCCTTCCGCCAACAGTCCTGGCCTCTGTTCCTCGCCAGTCTCACCTCTCTGCCAGAGACTGATTGCCTCCCTTTCTCTCCAGCCCCTTCACAAGTGGGTTGCAGACTCCCCATCACCATGGCAACGCAGCTTCCGCTTCCTGTGGGCCTAGGACTCAGCAGGAGATGGGAAAGCAGGGCATCCATATCCTGCGTGTGCATTTATGAACGGTCATGTGGCCGTGCATGCTGTGTGTGGGTCCAGGCATGTGTGTGCACACGTGGGGCTGGATTTGTCTGTGTGTTGCTGTGTGGGAGTGAATTGTTGTGGGTTTGTCCTTGTGCCCAGGGGCCTGGGGAATGTGGGCCTTTGTGAACATGTGGCCACTCGACACGGGCATGCCTGCCTGTGTGCACGTGTGGTCAGGACTTGGCCTTAAATTTGGGCCTGTGGCTTCTACATGCACGTGGCCTGGGCCATCTGCAGCAAATCATGGTTGTCCAGTACGGGCTTTAGAGACCCGGGTATAGATTCAGGTCCCAGCTCTGTGCCTGACTTGCTGGGTGACCTGAGGCTAGCTGCTTTCCCTCTCTGGGCCTCATTTTCCCTTCTCTACACTGGAGATTGTAACCCCTATCTGAATTCTGTCCAGAGGTTCCGTGGGCTGTGGGGGCTTTTAGGATGATCCCTGTATGCTGCTTCCTGAGAAAGGCTTTCTCTGGCTGCTCAAGTCTCTGCCCCCCACCTCTGGGTCTCAGCCTTGCTCCCTGATGCCACCCCAGGCATCTCTTAACAGGGCTAGTCAGTCCTGTTGGGCAGAAGGAAACTTCTCCAGCCCAAAGCTTTTCCAGGCTCGAGGGGAACAGGGAGGGGACCACCAGTGCTGGCCCAGCTTAGCCTTGGCAGCCTTCAGCCAACCACTGGCTCCTGCCTGAGCCTGGAGTCTACAGGAAGGGGCAGGGCACAGACAGTGCTCCTGTGGGCAGACCCAGAGAGGGGAGGCAGTTAGGCCAGGGACACACAGCCACTTGGGGCCATTCTGAGGCTCCCAGAGAACATTTATTGAGCACCTACTGTGTGCCAGGCCCTCTTACATGTGGTCTCATTCAATCTTTCCAGCAGCCCTGGAAGAAGCCCCATTGTGCAAAGGGGGAAACCAAAGCCCAGAGAGGGCAAGCGACTTGCTCAGGTCACACAGTTGGGATGCACACTTGGGCTTCAGAGGTTTTGCCAGGCTAAGGGTGCATGGAAAGGCTCTCCGGTCAGGTGCCCCTTTGTCCCTTGGCCCTACCCCGGTGACTGCCCCAGAGCTGGGTGCTCAGACAGGTTGGACCAGACCTGGCTCCGCCCTGCTGTGTCAGGTAGGTGTGCTTAGAGCTGTGGGGGCGCTGGCATGGTGGTCACGGCTCCTCTGTGGCCTGCCCTGCAGGCGCCTACTGCCTCTCAGTGTCCGACTTCGACAACGCCAAGGGCCTCAACGTGAAGCACTACAAAATCCGCAAGCTGGACAGCGGCGGCTTCTACATCACCTCCCGCACCCAGTTCAGCAGCCTGCAGCAGCTCGTGGCCTACTACTCCAGTGAGTGTCGGGGCGGCGGAGAGGATGCCCCCTGGGATGGGGGCCTCGGCCCATCCTCTGAGCTGCAGACCCTGAGGAGGGCGACTTTGGGCTGACAAGGGCCTGGACGTCTGTCACCCTGAGGGTGTGGGCTTCCATTCCCCTCCGCCTTCTTCCTTTCCCCTTTCTCCCTCCTTCTCTCCTCCCTCCCCCTCTTTTTTCCTTCTTTCCTCCCTGTGCCTCTATTCCCTGTTTCCCCTCTTCCCTGCCCCCCACTGCTGCTTCCTCCCCTTTCTCCTCCATAGCTGCCTGGTAAGGAGGGGGCTGCCTGGAGGAGTGAGCTGGGAAGGAGGGGGCATAGGCCAGTGTCATTTGTCTCTGCAACCCTAGAACTGGTTAGAACCGGTTACTGGGAAGGAGGGGGCAGCTGCATCGATTGCAGCGAAGAGGGAGAGAGAGCTGGGGAGAGAGCAGCAGGCCTGGGAGCTCACATGCTCAGGTCATGAACGCAAGAGTGAGGCCGACCCATCTGGATGTCCAGGGCTGCCCTGGGGGACTGAAGTGTCGTGGCAGTTGTGCTCCCGTGTGGGCTGGTCTCTGTGGGTGCCTGTGTCTCTGTAGCATGTGACTGTGGCCGCCGTGTGCAGGTGTGGCCTTTCCTGAGAGCACCAACTACTCCTCCTCTGTCAGCTGGGCCTCCCGACTCCCTCTGGGATCTGCCACCCCTCCCTGTCCCCTTGGCCACCACTGTAGGGTTCATTCTGAACCCTGTTCCCCCAGATCAAAACCCTCTGAGGTTACCTTGGAATTTTAGGATAAAGACCCTCAGCTGGCCTCCCTGCCTTACCGGGGGCCCTCCCCCAATTTGTGCCCCTGTGGTCCCCCTGGCTTCCACTCAGTTCCTCCAACCCAGCGGCTTGTTCCTCCTTCAGAGTCTTTGCACACACACGATGCAGCGTGCCCTCTTTCTGGAGGGCTGTTCCTTCGTCAACCACTCACCCTCCTGTAGATCCAAGCGCAGGGACCACTTCCTTTAGGAAGCCTTCCAGAACTCCACCCAGCCCACCTGCTATTGCTCGCACACCTCCCCTCCGTCCCACTCGTGGTCCTGGGAGTTGATTAAGAGAAGTTGGGTGCCCCCTGGACTGTGAGCTCCATGAGGACAGGGTTCCACTTGACCTGTCTCTGACTGGGTCCCTGGCACCCACATAGGTAGCCCCCCTTAAAGTCTGAATGAATGATTCAGGGAGCAAATGCATTGAGGCAATATGGGCCTGTGTTGGGGAGGGTGTGTACGCACAGGTGTGGACACCTGGCCTCGAGGCCATCTTGCGTGTCCCTGAGGGCTGTGTGCATACGGTGTGTAAGTCTCCACACGCACACCATGGGACACGCAGGCCCCTGGGCGGATGCCCAGCTTGAACTCCACCTCTCTGCCTCTGTCCTCAGAACACGCTGACGGCCTGTGTCACCGCCTCACCACCGTGTGCCCCACATCCAAGCCACAGACTCAGGGCCTGGCCAAGGATGCCTGGGAGATCCCCCGGGAGTCGCTGCGGCTGGAGGTCAAGCTGGGCCAGGGCTGCTTCGGAGAGGTGTGGATGGGTAAGGCCTTGCCCTGCCCCTGGGAGGAGACCCTGGGCCCCTTGGGGGGCCCTCGGTGTCACCCCTCTGAGAACCAGACAGATGTCTATCCTGTGTGGCAGCTCAAGGCTCCATTAGTCCTCCCAGCCTTTGCTTCCACGAGTCTCATCACGTCTGCTCAGTAGTGGGCTCTGTGTCAGCACGGAACTCCCCAGCGGTGGCTGGCAGCAAGCTGGGGTGTGGACCCCCCACCTCCACAGACCGTAGCACCTGTTTACCAAGAGCTGCTCAGGGCTGGGCATCGCAACTCCCCAGGGACTTGTCGTCTGGGTGAATGGATGAGGTGGCTTCACTCTGAGCTTTGATCTTCCCAACCGTAAAATGGGGCTGGAGATACGAGGCCCCACCGGCGGGGTTGAGAGAAGGCTGGCCCGCGTGCGTCCACACGTGAGTCTCAGCCGTGGGAAGAGCTGCCCACAGAAGGAGCGCTGGGGGGTGCAGGGTCTGTTTACGATCTCCCGTCTAACTGGAGAAGTGGCCAAACCGTCCTTGAAAACGAATGCCACACAGCCCTGACAAAACCCAGGCCCCCTCCAGCTGACTGGTTTCTGCTGACACAGGAACGGTGGCGGTCGGGGTGAGGGAGGCCTGGTGGTCATGAGGCTGTGCCTCCAGTGCGGGGATGGCCGTGTGCTGTGTTCAAGATTATTTCATCTGAGCCGCAGTGACTACCTGGTATCACTGTCTCCACTTTCCTCCCTTTAGAGGGAGAGTTGATGGAGGGGAGCAGAGGGAGTTCCCGGGTGGCAGGCACTGCAGGGACAAAGGTCTGCAGGCTGGAGGCCAGGCCAAGTCAGGAAAAAGGCGGTCTTGGCTTTGAGCTGAGGATGAGAAGCCAGCTCCCAGGCACAGACACAAAACCTGGTAAATCCAGAGCATCAGCTATTCTGGTGGCTGCGAAACTCATTCCTCCCCCTTGTGTGCGGTGGAGTCAGTGGGGGACACTTTCATTCCTCCCTGGGTGATCCAGGTGGACTCATGATGTGCCAGGCACACATCCTCAGATGGCCTGTGCCGGGAGCCCACAGACCTGGGTCTGATGGAGACCCAGAGATGGGAAGGAACGGACCCAAGGCTGCTCATCAAAGGAGCCTCAGGCCCAGCTGGGAGGAAAACTCAGATTAAACACACCAGTTTAGAACTCAGCTTCCCCCAGTGCCTCACAATTTAGAAACCAGGTAATAATAAAATGACAGCTGCAGCTATTACTGTGTCTTCACAGCGGGCTGGGCCCAGTGGCTCAAATCTCATTTAATCTTCAAACAGCCCCACAGGTGGATACTGTAGCACCCCCATTTTCCAGACGAGAAAACTGAGGCTCAGAGAGGGGAACTGACTCACTTGTGGTCTCACTCCTGGTGGGAAGTGGAGGTGGGAGCCAAACTCCTGTCGGTCTGACCTCTAAGCCCTCGTACTTAGTGTGGCTTCAGACAAGCCTTGTTCTGGTGGCTTTGTTTTGAGGCCAGCTCTGCCTCAGCCCCAGCCCCCCGATACACATTGCATTTGCCTACACCTGAAGCACCTTCGATGAGTTATCCAGAAGGAGTGTGACCACCCGGAGAGAGTGGTTGTGTTGGAACCATGGTCTCCCAGCTCTCAGGCCAATGTGCTGCTTTGGGCGACATTTCTCGTAATCAGAATCCTAATAGCATTACTGTTTCTTGAGCATGTAGCTGATACTCATTTAATCCTGTAACAGCCCTGTGAGGAGTGGCCTGCCGTTGTGCCCATTTTGCAGATGGGGACACTGAGGCTCAGAAAGTGGCTGGGCTTGTCACATGGCTTGGGAAGCCAGAGCTGAAGTTGATACCCAGGCAGGCAGATCCCGGTTCCCTGTTGGGTGGGAATGGGGGCCCTCCACTGAGGCAGCTTGCCTCCCTTTCCACACAGGGACCTGGAACGGCACCACGAGGGTGGCCATCAAAACCCTGAAGCCCGGCACAATGTCTCCGGAGGCCTTCCTGCAGGAGGCCCAGGTCATGAAGAAACTGAGGCACGAGAAACTGGTGCAGCTGTACGCGGTGGTGTCCGAGGAACCCATCTACATCGTCACGGAGTACATGAACAAGGGTGAGGCCTGGGTGACGGCGTGGAGACACGGGCAGCCCCTCGCCAGGGTGCTGGGGCGCCTCCCTTCCCACCAGATCTAGAGTGTACATCTTTAAAGGCGGAATGGCATAGAATCAACTTCCCGTGTCAGTGGAAATTTAAACCAAAGGTCGCCTTTCTCCTTGCATTTTGTTTTTAACAATTTCCCACAATGTATCTTCTGTCCCCCAGCCCCGTTTGCTGGTTTTCTAGAGCTGTTTGTCATTCCGGGGCTGGAAGGAGAACTCCCCCAATCCTCCAAGCTGAGCCACATCTGGGTCAAGTTCCTTTACTCAGTTTTGAATTTAATTGTTTCTCACAATTCCACTTTATAGAGGTGTAATTTACATATGATCAAATATACTCATTTTAAGTGTCCAGTGAGGTTTTTTTTTATATTTTATTTATTTATTATTGTATTATTTAATTATTTTACTTGAGGAGGAGGTAATTAGGTTTATTTAATTTTAGAGGAGGTACTGGGG